CAAACACTTTGTTAAACGTTTTCTGAGGAACTCAGTTCCAGATATACTCTTCCTGTGAATTTTTTTAACAACTTCATTTTTATATTCCATATTAATTCACTCAAAGAAATTGTCTTTGTTCTTCAGATTAGATTTAAAACTTTTTTTTTTTTAACCAAACCAACCAATGTATTTCATTACATTTTTCAATTTGCTCCTAGTGTAACCTTATATATATTGCTTAGAATAATAGGCCAGAATCAATTTTTACAGTATTCGTACACCAGTTTGTGAGATTGTTACTCATGGTTTTGTTATATTTTATATATTTATTTAGAGATGCTGATCAATGTACGTTGCACTCTTCTCAGGGAAAAGGTATTTTAGGCAAGAGACAGCGTGCAAACCCCAACAGTTATAAATCAGATCATGTGTGATTCGAAATCTATTTAAAGCAGGCAAATGTTTGACAGACCATTCAAATGGCACAAAGTATATTGTACAGAACTCGGATCATGTAGTTACTGATAAATCACACGTAGGAAAGAGCAGCAGCAGCATACTTTCCCACAGCACACAGAATAGATTGTCTCCATAAAGCTGCTGAAGTTTCAAGGAGAGGTTATACGAGTTATGCGCTTTCTCAGCGCCAGTAAGTTGTAGTAGGTGCGGTACCTCATAAACAGGCCTGCCTGGTGTTTATGAGACAGACAGAGGGGCAGAGTTCTGAGATCGGTAACGGCTGCCGTGCTTTTTGCATACCCTGCTTCCTTCATTACAGCTTGGCGAGCTCGTTCCCTTTGCTGTACCTTAGTCCTCTGTGTCTGTGCGTGTGTTTGGGTTTCTGCTGGTGGTTCCACATTCTGCATGCTTTCCTGAAAGCGGAGCAGTGTGCTTTCCCATAAATGATAGAGATTATGGGTTAGCCTCTGACAGGCTCTGTGTTCCTGAGAAGTGGGCTCTTTCTGTTGGTGATAACTCATGTTTTGATATCATTGTTCTGAATTGTTCTTCATGTTGTAAAATTGAGTTGAAATGTACTCCCATAAGAGTTAGCTTTTCATATTGGGCTGGAAACTCTTCATCTTTGTGTAGCAATTTGTTTTATTATAACCAAGGCTTTTAATTGTACCTCCCATAATGAAGAGCTGACTTAATACTCTGTGCTAATCTTGTTATGACTTTAAAAAGGTAAGTAATTTCTCTAAACATTCCTAACAGTCATGGTAAAGTGTTAAAGGGTTTTTCAATTTTCTTCTTTTCTTTATTTTTCACATGATTTTTTTCACTTGTAGCATGAACTTTTCTTTGTGTCTTTTTCTATTTTTCTTGTAAAAAATTGTTTCGTGGACTGATTTTTATTTGCGGCAAAACAGATCATGTAGATATAAATAATTTCAATGCAGTACAGTAATTGATTTCATTTTTCAAACCAGTCATGATTGATGGATAGAAATTGTCAGCAGGACTGTTTATTTTACCATTCCCTTAATTTATTTTTTGAGTACTTTATTTCACATTCTGTTTAGTACTTCAGCCTATGGGAGAAAGCTTACTTTGCATTCCAGCATGATGAAATTATATCTTAAATAACATAAAATCCAGTTTGCTTAAAAAACCTGAGTAATGTGAATCGAATGCTTTGGGTTTGGTTACGTTCTGCCTGAACTATGAAGGGGAATGGTACTGGGTGGTAGCCCACTGTATCTTCTGGCAAGGTACATTGTGAGCCAGGAGGTTGTAGAATGGACAAATAATAAATCTGTACTTTCCCTGTGAAAGGAGAGACAGCCATAGGTTGTTATTTCGGTATCTACTTGTGACTGAGAAGAATTACAGTAAATAATACCACTAATCACTCACCCCAGTCAGTCATGGTACTATATGCAATGTAATATGGATTCTTTACTTAGCAGTAGCTGTGAAAAGAATACAGATTTTTTTATAAATGTCACAAATAACAAAGTAGTAAAACATACTAATAATGAATATGATAAAAGGCACTTAAAGCACATGACCCCATTTATACAAAGCTCCATTGCTGCTAAAAGTGTGTGTGTTAGAAAACTGGTGGGTTTTATTCAAAATCATATTTTTCTGCAATTTTGTTTAAAAGCAACATTTAGGATATCTATATGCAACTCATATTAAACAAACAGAAATATTATGTAATAACTAATTTTGATGTCAGTTATGTTAAAACATGGTTTGTATTCTGCAGCTGTGAGCATAGGTTGGGAAACGATCAAGTCTAGCTGATCAAGCTTTTTATTTTATTATCATGGATTCCTCTTCCACAGCTGCTTTTAAAATTTGTGGGAAGCAATTATTTCTCATACTGCATATGTTGCCCGTCAGGTGAGTGATAACATGGAAACTGTAGGCTGGGTGTAAGAAATCAAAAAGTAAATTTAAAGTCCTCTGTGTGCACAGAATTAAAAAAATGACCTGTACGGGGCTCTGCGAAGCCCACTGTCTTTTGTTGCCATTGTCATTTGGGCACTGTAAGAGCAAAACTTTGTCAGCACGTTTTTTATATTAGAAGATTTGATCTGCAAATCTCAGCTGCTCTGTTCATTATAAATCTCTTGTTTTTGTCCATACACTAGCTCCACTATAGGTTGGAAGGGCTTAAAGATGAACTGAGGAGGAATAGAGGCTACAACTCGAGAGTAACTATTACTGCTCAAAGGAGCTGTTTTCCATTCGCAAACATTGCTTTGCGCTATGGGTTTGGGCTCCTTCTGTTCCTCCACTTTGTTAAAGACTCTCTCTTGACTTCCATTTTACTTCTTTAGCACTGTCTTTGTCTGCTAACATTTTTCCTCCTTCTTAGTAGCTTTTATCTGTGTCCTTTGGATCACATATTTTACTTAGTTTGTTTTACTAGATTGTTTCAAATGTTTGTGGTTTTGGTTTGGTTTTTTTTGCCTTTTTCTTTAGGACTACGTTATCTCACTGAGTTTCATTCCACAGTTTGCTGAATCGCTTGGTTATTTTGCAGCAGGCCCATTCCTCGTTTTCTCTTTTCATGTGGTTTTCAGTGAGAAATAAGAGAGCCTCTTCCATTTTAAACAGTAGTCTTACACACATAGGCCCATGTCTCGTTTTGCACACACCATCTTCTGCCTTGCCACATCCATCCTGCTTCTCTCTCTCTCTCTCTCAATCTGTGCCCCTCTCTCTTTTGTGCTTTCTTTCTAACCATTATACCATCTTTTTGGTCCAGAATTGTCCTTTGGTAAATTATAGGTAAATAATTGCTTTTTGCAAAGAGAGTTTATTTCATGCCTTTGAAATCTAGTAAAACAACTCTGGGCCAAATTTGAGCATCATTAATATTTTGTTTGCAGTTATCTTGTATAGTACTTTTTGGTGGGAAGGAGGGAGGGTTTGGGGTTTTTCTGTTTGGGTTTTTTTTTTTAAACAACAGTTTTTTTCAGGGAAGGACACCATAACTCACTCTAAGTTGCAACATTACTTTTCATAAGTTATTCCATTACAATAAGTGGACTGTGTTGCGCTGTAGAATCCAATTTTTTCATGTGAATATACATTTGGGGCAAGCTGCTGTGGAACAGAAGAAAGAGGTTTAGAAGTGGGGCACAGTTGGTTTCAGCCTTAAATGGTTGTTTCTTTCTGAAGACAGCTTTTTGGGGGTTGAGTGCGTACCATTCTTCATCAATTGTTAGATCATACATATTCACTTTCTAAGTTTTTCTGTAACTGCGAATTGAAACTGTAGTCTGAAAGATAATCTGGATTCACTCCACTTTTACAGCAGAGACAAATGTTCTGCAGGGAAATTACACCCTCAGTGTCACCTGTGCTATTCCACTTCTTTCACCACGTGTGCACAGTTTTACTTTAGCAGTCTTCTCGATGAAATGTAGCAATACATTTGTCAGTAAAGTAAAAAAGAGAAGCATTCCATTCATATTCTTGCTGGGGTTTGTCTTCCTATGAAGTTTACTTTAGCTGGGGTTTTGTCCACACAAAAAGGTTTTCATTCAAGTGTGACCAGTTCAGTCAGCTGACCTGCCAGAAGATAGGCTGCCATTCAAATTAGTTCATCTATAAACTTGCAACTCCAGTGTTACCGTACAATGTGCCATATTTCCAAGCCTGAGAAGAATTAACAAGAACTGATGCCTCAGTACAGATGAAGTTTATGTGTTGTGTTTACGGGACTGATACTCTTTGAAAAACAATTCCTTATTTAATCGGCATGGTAAACCAATGGAGCTCTAAATATCCAGCGTTACTAGAGTATTAGACCAGTGTGAATCCTCCATATTTCCTGGAGTCAGATGAATGTATCTGGAATAGCACAGTGGCAGCTAAGCATCTAGGAAGAGAATTTGTTGAGAAACCAGTTGCCATTCTTACAGTTACTCTTTAAATTAGAATTGCACTGTAAATTTTGTACTGAACAATATAATTTCTTTTAACCAAACAGAAATAACAGAATAAATTTATCTGTCTCCAGCCAGGAGCTGTTTATACAATTGCAAAGAAGTCATATTAAATACCTTCAGAATCAACACAATCTAAATTGAGTATTTTAAAACTCTTTCCTTAATATCTGAAAACAGCAATAATAAAATTTTAAAGCAGGTCATGATAATATAGATATGTTAGTATTTTGTGTAACTATGATACAGGACCTAGATTCAGAGTTACTGTGATTACAGTTGTGTAAGAAAATGTGGATTTTCTGTTTAAAACTGGAGCTTAACACATGATTTTAACTACTGTGTTCTTTGATTTTACTCTATTACTGTCCTTAGGCCATCTTGTTTCTTATGGCAAAGGGGTGGAATCAAATTGCTTGTATCAGATTCTGACCATCAGCTACTACCCTTCTGCTTAAATGTACTTATATCCTGTAGAGTATATAAGAATGTTGCTGAGAATAAGTATAGCCTCTGTCTTAGATCCCAGGAGCTTGCCCATTATATTTCTGTATTTTGCATTCTTGTTAACTTCTGTAGCTCATAGGCTTTGTGCTCTCTCTGCAGGTCCAGTCTAGGTGCAGCAGCAAGGAGAACATCCTCAGAGCAAGTAAGTACTGAAACTTCATAGCCCTGCTGAGAAGCTAAGACTGCTCAGAAGACAGCAAAGAATAGTCAGATGGGGAGAGAAGGATATGTTTGGGACATAAGTGGGTTTGCAGAACATATTTAGTAACTTAAGACAATGAAATTCACTCCAAAGATAAAATAAAAGTGTAAATAGCTCATGCTGTTCATATATTAATGGATAGTTGCCTTTTAATTTTGTCTTCCAAGCTGTTCTTCTTATGATGTGGAGGTCGGTGTTGTTTCTGGTGGTGTATTATTCTAAAAGACCACGTGTGTGCAACTGTTATGGACAAAAAGAGTAAATGCTCAAAGACAATGAGAATGGAAATTGTCAAGTTGAATATATATGAGTTTTGATACCTGAAAATGCAGTTTAATGTTGGGTTACATAAAACCGAACCAAAAAATGCAAAGGTTAAGAATTCAGACTTGATCCAAATGACCTGTTTTTTTAATTTGCACAATTCCCTTACTTTGTTTTATGTGAATCTTTCCTACTCTAAAGTTTGATCCACCATACGTATATGTAATAACAGGAATAGGAGGTTGTTTTGGTGATAAGAGAGAAGACTGTCAGGAATTTTCTACTTTATGCAGCCATTTCACCTAGCTGTTTCAAAGCTAGAGCCATATTTTGTCATACAAAATGCTACTTAATGTAAGTAATTATTTTTAGAACCATCTGACATTTGACATTGGTGAAAGATAATGGGAAGGTCTGAGGAATTGTTTTATGTCATTTACTTATGATTAAAATGTACCACCTAGTAATTTGAGAATGAAAAAATCATTATTAGTTCTTCTCCAGGTCTGTTTAAATGTATGATACCTTTAAAAGAAGTGTTAGCATTTGTTGGTAGGAAGGAATAGGGAGAGAGAAGGGTTAGTAGTTACAGATGCATCTTTCTTCGTTTCTTCATTAAGGTTATTCATGCTCATGATAAACCTGAAGGGGCTTGCTTTATTTTTGAGTATGTATTTTCTTGGCATCTCTTGCAGAAATGACAAGTGTTGCTTTTGATGTTGGAACAAAATTGTCAGAGATCAGGAGATTTTATCTATTTAAAAAAAAAAAAAAACTGTGTGGAAGAATACATTTCTCAGTAAATTTTAACAGAATCTTTGACTTAGGCAAATGAGCTGTATTAGACACAGGATTCCAGATCTGAAGGTAGTACGCTGGGCACCATTCAGAGCATTCAAAGCCTCAAGTTTTCCTTCAAGTTTTAAGGATTGAAGAGGTGAAATGTTGGTTTCTGAAGTAGCTAACAGTGAATTTTATGTAGCAGTAAAACATAAATATTAAAGCACCTAATAGCTGTAGCATAAAGGTTGTTTGGTACCACACAATTCCCCCAGCTGCCACTGCTGTGACATAATTTTTCCTAGCATCTTTCTTCATTTTTTCCAACTTCTCCTTTTAAGAGAATAGTTTCTTAATTTATGGAGTCAGGGAAAAGTTTTTAACATATCCTGTGTTTTTTTTTAGGAATTGCAGTCCTGCTAAATAGCATTTCTTTCTCTATGCAGAGAAATGTATGGGGAGTTTGACTGTGTCACAAATGCTTTCCTTTCCTTTTCCTTATTGTTACTGGGTTGCTAACAAAACACACGCATAGTAATGGAAAATCCAAGCTTGCTAGGGACATCCCTGTTGGTAAATCCAGGAATGCATTTTTTCCACTAGTTACACTTTATTCTTACAGTAGTTTAATTTGGATCATTTCTCCCTAGTTTGCTTATGATAGTCATGTTTAAGACTGTAAAAAGTCTTAATATGGTTAAAATATATCTCATCAGCTGTTTCTCTCTTCCCCAGTAAGCAAACTGCTATGTTAAGGAACGGAATTAAGTCAGTTAGAAATTAATGGTGCTTGACAAATTCACAGTGCCTGCTTTATCATCATGTTATCTTCTAAATGTGTACAAAGAGATTGTTGAAATTCTTTCTTCCAGAATATTTCTTGGGACTGGAATTAGATGGGCAGTTTTATTTGTCTCTATTTCTTCCTCCTAGTTACTGTGTTAACAGGAAAAAATAAAGTAATGAACAATCTCCCACATATGGAGACAAGCATGTGTCAGTGCTGAAAGAACTTTTGCACATACAGATTGACTGAGTGACCTTCTCTTCTGGAGGAAAGACTTAGATTGTATGATTGTTCTACTATTTTGGTAGTTATTTTTTTTTATTAGAAGACTGCACTTAAAACAATAACCTATTTTTTTCCAGAATGTGGTCATGCGCAGCAGCAAATGGGATATTTAGGTAGCTACTGCAAAGCAAAATCATGTCATTAAAATTTTCGTTTCTGTTGTTTGTTAATGCCATCTTCTCATAATTTATGTTGCTTTAGAAATATCATTACGCATTACATATAGAACATCCACTTTGGCTTTCGTAAATACCTTTTTGTTCTAGGCTAATCCGTTCAAGATATTTCTACAAATGTAATTTTCTTAATCTTCTGGTTTGTATCTGTTACTCTTGTTTATGTATTCCTGCAATAGTTCCCTCGCTTCAGTTGCTTATCTTCACTTTCCAAATCCTTCAAAGCTTCTTGTCCTCTTGTTTACTCTCTCAGTAAGTATCAAGAAATCAAACATGCTGCTGCTTCATTTCAACAGCTTTTGTTGAATTTTCTTCCAATCTGTCCTTCATACTTGGGAAAAGTAAGCTTCCATTAAGCTATCCTACTACCTTCACTCAAATCATACTTTTAAATGTCACTTTGCGATGATGACTACAAAATCTTAACAATGGGTAGGATGCCCACTAGCTGTCTGCTGTCTTGACTGTCCAGTGATTTCAGTGTGCTTCTCTACCCTCCTTTCAAACCTTTTGACTCCCATCTCACCCTTGGATTGCAAATTCCCTGTGTCAGTGTCCATTTTTACCTTTTATCTGTGCATAACGTATTGAGATGTGTTTGTGGAGAAGGGAACGAGGAGTGAATAGTCCTGCATTCCTAGTTGATAGAACTGAGTTAGCTTCAGATTATCAACCTCAGTGTAAAATGCTGCATCGTCTCAAAGGGTTTCTGTTGCTGATTAACTGATCCTTTTATGCTCATCAAGACTTCTGGTGTGTTTTTCATGACAAGTAAGGATGTACACTTTTCTGAACTTTTTCAACTGTAAATTGCATTTCGTGTTAAATCTCTCGATTCTCGTTGAATCCAGTGCCTTCCCACTGTCTGACCTAAATGCTCCATAGTGGTAACTAACGAATTTAATTTAGCCCAAAGTGCCGGATTAATTTCAGTAAAGTGGTTTAAATGAAGACCACTGTACGCGTTGTGGCATACATAAACTTGGCGCGCTCTTCTTGCAGGTCACAGTGCTGTTGACATCACCAAGGTAGCAAGAAGACACCGCATGTCTCCATTCCCATTGACATCAATGGACAAAGCCTTCATCACAGTTCTGGAGATGACCCCAGTGCTTGGAACAGAAATCATCAATTACAGAGGTATTTTAAGTTGGATTCTTTGCAAGGATGAGGGTAATTATTTCCTTATTGTACCATCTTCTAAACCACTTGCTCTTGTATTACTGTTGTGAGGTGTCTGAGACAGTACCTTCTCCAGCAGAAAACGCTTTAGGAAATGCCAGTAATAGGATCAGAAGTCTCCTTTCAGTCAGGAGAATGTTGATTGAGCTCAGTGCTGCTCCCTGAAGGAATCTGTAACGGAACTCTAAATAAATATACAAATGAATTTTCTTCTGGTCCCTGTTATATGCAACAAAGCTCAAACATAGGGACCACAGGTTGCCTCAGTGGTCAGTTTAACACTCAACATTTGTAGATGCCAAGTAGCTCCAAGTTGTACTGTGGTCTTCACTCTGTTCTCTTACTTTGGGAGGTTCTCACTAAATCCCCTTTCCAGTCCGAGATGAATGAACAAAGCAAAGTGTTTACAGATGCCTGGTCACTTTCCTCCATGAAATTCCCTTTCTATTCTACCACCACATTTGATCCTTTTCTGACACTTACGTGCTTTTAATGTTTGATTACTGAAACTTTGTAATCAAGGGTAACTGTTACTGATTTACACAGTGAGGTTGTCTTAAAAGGCACCTAACAGCAGGCAAAATGTCAGGCCTTTGGACTGTGTCTATACTCAGAGATAGGTGAAGCCATTTTCTGGCCTTAAAAGGCATTAGCAGGGCACCTTTTCTGTTTATTCAGCTAAACTGTCCTCCCTCTTGAAACAGAGTGTTTGTAAGGCCTATTAGGTGTCCCCCTTGCTTCTGCTATCCCTTACACTGAGCCTGGGCATTATCTGGGAGAGCATTGTTGGCACAGAACAAAACCATGACGGAAAGCATGCTGACAAGTAATCCTAAAGTATGTAGGGAAGAGGAAACCTCCTCCAGGAATTCCTCCAGATTTTCCAAAGGTAAGGTGGTGAGCAAAGAGATAATGGAGCTATGAGATCCAATGTTTAGGACATTGGTGGACTTCAGAGAGCAGAGAGGTACAAATGGTTTCTGAATGGGATATTCTGACTTCTGGCTTGACAATTCAGAGTTTTCACGTTCTTTGCCAAATCTTTGTGCTGTCACAGATTTCTTCACATGTCTTCATGTTGACGTACTGATTTAGCAGACTGTATGTAGAATCACACTTGCGTGTTTAGTCACCCCAAGTGGAGATCAGCACTCCCCTGTGCCTTGGATCTCTGAGAAGATGTTGCATATCCTGCATTCAGAAGACCAATACTGGATCAACAAGGGAATATGCGTATTACACTGCACTTTCGTAATGGTGTGCCGATTAGAAGGCATTAAGGCATAAATGCCTGAGCATGGCTATTAGATCTTTTTGCATAGCTGTCAGTTACATGTCTTTGCTAAGACAGCCCTTTGCGGACAACGTGGTGGATCACAGCATTTGGTACGTTCAGTCCAAATAGATGCATATGTGTATGACACTGAACTCCGGATATAAAGAATAGCAGCCTGGCGTGTACCTCCCTGAAAAATAAGCACAGCATGTATTTATTTTGCTATATAAGGTACTGTTAAGGGACTGGAGCATTATTATTCTTTTTAACATAAAAACAGTTTTGATTTTTTCAACCTCTAGTGCAAAGATAAATGAAGAAATAAGTTCTTGAATTTGGGTTGTATTGATTGTACAGAAAAAAACAAGCATTGATAAGCTGTTATTTTTCCTTTTTTGGTCCCTGATTCTATAAACATGTCTTACTCTATTGTCCTTTTATTGTTATTTTCTTTTTCTCTGTGTCTCTGTCTTTTTCACTTCCGGATGAAAACTGACATAATTATTGCAGTCTTCCAGTACCTGAAGGGACTGACAAGGAAGCTGGGGGGGACTTTTTACAAGGGCCTGTAGTGACAGGACAAGGGGGAACGGGTTTAAATTGAAAGTGGGGAGGGTTAGATTGGATATCAGGAAGAAATTCTTCACGGAGAGGGCGGTGAGGCACAGGAACAGGTTGCCCAGAGAAGCTGTGGATGCCCCATTCCTGGGAGTGTTCAAGGCCAGGCTGGATGAGGCTTTGAGCAACCGGGTCTAGTGGAAGGTGTCCCTGCCCCTGCCCATGGCAGGGGGGGTGGAACTAGATGATCTTTAAGGTCCCTTCCAACCCAAACCATTCTGTGAATCAGTGATGATTCTATGACATACTGTTTCACACTTTCGTGTTGCTGCCACTGTGTTTCTGGAGAGAGCTTTTATTTCCCTAGAAGTTAATAAAATGTGACTAAAAATATTCTTCCAGGTAAACAGTATGCATAATCCACACATGCTACATTTATCTGTATCATCTATTTATGTGTATACACCAGTCTTTGTGCAAATATATTTATATCAACAGTAGGTAGCAGCCTTTTCTTGTATCTGGTTTGTAAACTTCTTCATTAGAACTATGGTGAAATAACACAAAATCACAGTATATATAATTTCCCGCTGCAACATGCTTTGGACAAGCTTTCACCATATAATTTATTTTGATGTTAAAAAACATTCAAAATATGGACTAACAGTTTTGTGTTAATGCTGATAATGTTACCATACCAATAACAGTGATTCTATTCAGACTACGTGCTCTTCAACATTTCCTTACAGAGACAGAATGGAGGTAATTGGTCTTAGCTAGAGGCTTACATTTGCTATAGAGTTTTATATACCCTTAATTTGTCAATAGGGCAATTTGATTGTTTCTGTTCTTATTCCACTACATGGGGATATGCTGTCAAGGTAAGAGAAGGTATTCTAGTATCATTTATAAGATCTTAGTTGATAGTTTATTTTGGTCTTCATGTTAGCTGATTCCTGACATCAAATTCAGGCTGAACATAATGATTATTACTCCTGGCATTGTTATTCCTTAAAAAGCAGTGTTATGGGTGTGGTGAGACACTTCTCTCTTCCCTCTCACCCTCTTCCCACTCACACAAAATAACAGTTAGATACATGCTAAGATCATCACCTGTAGAGTTATATTCTTTGTTTAATAGTCACATAATTGTACCCACAGTGAAAATATAAACAACATATTCCTTCATATTTTTGCACTGTAGTGCAAAAAATTGTATCTCACAATTTATTTTTTAACAAGTATACGCTTACTTTAGCTATGTACGATTTCCTAATACACAGTATGAAATTTCAGGATTGAGACTTTAAGAGGCATCCTAAAGAACACATCTGTGTCTGTGATACTGGAAATCAAATTCTCTTAATCTACAGATACAAATCTCAAGATGGAATCCCATTTTCAGAAGTTTGTAGGTGATCACCAGTGTCATACAAACAAATATATAGGATTTTTTTGTATACACATATATGTATATGTATGTGTGTGTGCATGCGTGCACACACGTATGTTAGTTTGCTAAAAATGTTGATTTTGAAGAATTAAGAAACAGTTTTTCATTTATTTATGTATTTATTTATTTTTCAGTTACTGTACCTGTAATGTCAGGAGAGAACAAAAATGTAGTCCTGGAAGCTCTGAATCCTAACTGTATTCAGAAAACCACCATTGTGTTGTGTGTGTTTTCTTTGTGATTTTTATGTCTTGAACTGAAAATTATTTTTCAGGAGCACAATTTCTCTGTCACAGAAGTGAAATGTTCAACGTTCTAGTATTGCAATTTATTTCATTAACAAATCTCCTAATTAATTTTAGCCTGATTTGTTTACATTACTAAATATA